CTCTCTCTCTCTCTCTCTCTCTCTCTCTCTCTCTCTCTCTCTCTCTCATTACAGGCCACCAGGCCCTGACCAGTCCCCCTCCCGCCGTGCCCTGTCACCACACATTTTCCTCTCTGGAGCCAGCTGACCATGGCCTGAGCCTCAGAAACCAACCACTAACATAAATCTCTCCTCCTCTACGTGGTTTCTTGTCACCTCTGTTGTTCACAGTGACAAAAACCCAACTCTGTGGTCGGAACTAGAAACAAATCCCCGTCACCTCCCCTTGCTGCTGGTCACTCCACAAGTAGCTCCATGGCCAGGGGGAGCCTGGCTATGGGTCCCCCATGGTACGATTCCAAAGGACCTACTTTAAGTAAATAGCGGGTTTCTCGTCCTGCACCAACGGCCTTTACAGTGTGATCACCTCATTCTGTTCCCACTGATTCCAAGAAAAACCCTGGGAAGGACATCTGAGCCCTAGGATCTCGACCCCCGAGCCCCGTCCCCAGCCCTATTTTGCATTTTATTTAGAGACAGGGTCTCCCTGAGTTGCTTAGGGCCTCGCTTTGGCGGAGGCTGGCTCTGAACTCACCATCCTCCTGCCTCAGCCTCCCAAGCTGCTGGGATGACCAGCATGCACCACCGCGCCAAGCAGAGATTTTTCCATCCAAAGAGACAACACCAGTGACATCCCGGCTGATGGATGTGCCGTCCCCGCCACTGCATGAATCGCCTCTGCAGACCGCACTCCCTCAATATGACAAAATAATAAGATTCGCCCTCGAGTATCACCCCGTCGTGCTCAGGAGCTGCAAAATAAATCTGGAAACTTAATTCACACGGCGAGGCCCCGGGCGCTCTGGGCGCAGATGGAAATGACCCCGGGATCTGTCACAATGCAAGACGCGTCACTTAGAAAATGAAACCCGCCCACAGGAGGGAAGATGCATTAGAGGCAAAATAAAGAGAGCCACATTGTAAGCGCCCCGGCACGTTGATGCAGGAGGGCCATCTGCCCGGGTCTGCAGCAATCCATTGGTGTGATAAAAAGGGACAGTGTCCCTTCCTATTCTCCACCCAGCCCTTATCTGACACACTCAAAAGAGGACTTGTCCAGGATTCTGTGATAAACAGAGAAACGCACCGTCTCCCAGCACATCCGAGGGAAGGGTGGGGGCTCTGATGGACACGTCCCCCAGCCCCGCGGTACCAGGGATTGACCTCAGGTACACTCGACCCCTGAGCCCCGTCCCCAGCCCTATTTTGCATTTTATTTAGAGACAGGGTCTCCCTGAGCTGCTCAGGGCCTCGCTTTGGCGGAGGCTGGCTTTGAACTCACCATCCTCCTGCCTCAGCCTCCCAAGATGCTAGGATTACAGGCGTGGGCCACCATGCCCGGCCAGCCCTAAACATCATCTTTTGAGCAGGTGACCTAACATTTCTAATAAGTGACAATCAAAGCCGTCACAAATCTCCCAAACCCAGCCCCTTTGCTGCGGCAGGTCAGCGTGGACGCTGCAGAGGGGACCCTGTGACCCCTTAGCCGCACTCCAACAATCGTGTTGACGATGCACAACTGAGTTTCAGCCGAGAGGCACAGGGTGGGCACGTCGCAGGTAAAACGCAGGAGTCCCTGGGGCAGAAGCAGCACTTAGCATCCAGGATGGGAAGAAAAAACCAAAATGTCAATCCACTATGTCTAGAAAACCTGCTTCAATGACATTTCTAAACGTCTGGAGGTCAACCGGACACCACGCCGTCACTAATTTCCATGCAAAGATTCTCCCCTGAAACTGGGGGTAGGAATCGTCTGTGATAATTTGTTGCAAACGTTATTTCTTTTTCTTTCCTTTATTTTATTTTATTTATTTATTTATTTTATTTTGGTGCTGGGGCTTGAACCCAGAAACACCTGACCACTGAGCCACATCCCCAGGTTTTTTTTTTAATTTATTTTTCATTTACAAACAAGGTCTCACTAGTTTCCTTATGGCCCCACTAAGTGCCTGAGGCTGGCCTCCAACTTGCGATCCTCCTCCCTCAGCCTCTAGAGGGACTGGGATGATAGGCACACATCACCGCGCCAGGCCAGGCCCACCAACTCTCGAGCCCCGACGCCTGGCTTTCTTTTTAAAGTCTGTCATATCCTTGGCAACCCCTGCGTCTGTCTTTCCAGCAGAGAAACTTGGAGCATGGGGGGCACACGTGAGACGCAGACTGTGTTCGTTATAACTTCTGCCCTGCGAGTGCCCTCTGGATGCCGTGAAAACACAGCCTTTAACCCACTGGGACCCGGCGCCATTGTGAGGGTGGGACCCACCAAGAAGATCATTTCAGCTCTGTAAAATCTAAAGACAGTAGAATAAATGGGTCATTATGACTCTGTGTGCGTGTATGACCACAGGACCCTTGTGATTGTATATCACATCCAACCCGAAGGAGGAGAAGTGACACTCCACTTACGTACAATGTGTCCAAGTGCCTGCTACTGCCATGTAGAACTAATCAGAACAAATTAAAAAATCAAAAATCAATAATAAAGAAAATATTTAAATGCAAAAACAAATAAATGAATATACACACACACACACACACACACACACACATTCGACCTTTGGTGATTTGGGATTGGCTTATTTCACTCAGCATGACAGTCTCCAGCTGTATCCTGCAAATGCCATCATTCCATTCTTCTTCTGGACTGAGTAATATTCCATTGTGTATACACCACATTTTATTTATCCAGTCATCTACTGAAGGGCACCTAGGTTGGTTCCATGTAGTTGTAAGTTGAGCTGCTATAAACATTGATGTGGCAGGGGCATGATACCATGATGATTTCAACTTCTTTGGGTATAGACCAAGGAGTGGGCTAGCTGGGTCAAATAGTGGTTCCATTCCAAGTTTCTTGAGGAATTATCTTCAAGGAGAAATGACACTGATGATAATTTGGGCATTGCCTAAGGGTTCTGCAGGACAACCCTGGACGCTTCGTCTAGCAAACCTGTCCTCACCAGGTTGTCCGTGCCGATGAGGGACATTGCTCCACCGTAGGACCTCCTGGGACCCGTGTGTCCACTCTGCAGTACGGCTCCCTTTGGAAGACTTGCCCACTGGCCACGATTGCAGGTAACCGTCACTCCAGGGGCTCCTCATACTGAGCCACGATAGCATTTACTGAACTTGGGACATCTGACCTTCCTCTTGGCCCATATCTGAAGCCCACAGTATCTGCTTGGTCCTCTGGTGCCCACCACCAAAACCCAATCTCTTCCAAACGGCCACCACATTCTCAGACACCCCGCGTAGGAAACATGTTTTTTTTTTAATCCGTCTAAAGTCACTGCATCATTTACTTTTGTGTCCAATAAAGTTATTAAGCCATCGTCCTGTTAGTGTGAACGCAGACAAGACCTCGACACATTTATTAACAAACATAAGTTCATTAAAGCCATCGGTGGCTACATAATTTATGGAGTGATTAATTCTGACTTAAACAATTATTTACTCGAGATTCAATTTCGCTCAGAAAACCCCGGGTAATGTTTCTCTGGCGCGGCCATAATAAAGTTCTTATGTAATGACTAATTAGTTTCAGGGATGACAAATGTTTTAATTAAAACCAGCGAAACCCGGGGAACATTTATCACTATTTCTCTCCTTTTCCCATTATTCTCTGGAGATCGACTTTGAGTTCACCCGAAGGACGGAAACCCATATGTCAATGGCAAGATTTTTCTTTTTTTTTTTTCCGGGTGATTCTGCCAGTGGGGACGGATATAACTGGGAGGCACCACATCTTCTCGTTTCCAGTACTCTACAAAATATATCTGAGCACATAAAAAAACCAGTGAGCCGCTCACTCGGTTCCAGAGATGCATAATGAGTCTAAGTCATTGGAATCGAACAAAACCCCAGGGGATTTTTTTTTTTTATGTTGCATATGAAACCAAAAAAGATCTCCGAGAGGTGATTTGGACCATCTCTGTCCATTCCATCGAAGGTCTCCCTTGATTCAGTCCAGCTTTGGAGGGCTCCATCCCATCTTGCATGATCTGCCACCTTTTGGCCGCCATCTTTGTCTCTGGTGAGGAATGGATGGTCCATGGAGGTCCTCAGTGGTTGGGATCTATTGGAACCCAACGTCCATCCCAATTGTGAGATAGAAGAAGTTGAACCCCTGCTGGTGGTTTGGGAAGGACACCTCCGCTGGAGGATGTCCAGTGGGGTCTTCCACGAAGGCCATCACACTCTGGACTTGTGTTCTCCCTCTGTGGGCAGCAAACCTTTAGTGGACATCTAGTCCAGTGGTTTTCCAGGTGCATCGTGCAATATCCCTGATGTTTTACTTTTGTTTATAATGCATTGGCCACAAACCCGCTTCCAAACATATCTCTGAGCATTAAATTTAGCCACTACTAGGAAATCTGCTCTACACAGCAAATTTGAATGATTTGACTTGATTTTTTGGTACTTTTTTTTCCCAAATGTCTCTCCTGGTGCATACATCATTTTTTAATCTATTTTAGTGACTATCTTGCAAAGGTGCATTTTCTTTTTCATAAGCGCAACCATTGACTGTGGTATGCAGAGGGCCCGTTACTTCATTAACACCAGTTAATTAGTCACTTTGCACCTCCAGATCTTCATATGGTCTTTTCATTATTTATGTGATGTTATTGTTATTTTACCTGATAGCACTTCAATGGCATATGGTGGCCACTTTTGATTTAAAAAAAAAAAGGTAGTTTATTTTCTGGGTATTTGCATTTATGTTAATGGGCAAGACATTAGTGACCACAGAAAACCAAGCTTAGATTATTTCCCAGAATAGGCTTCAAAATATCAGCAATATTTATTGAGGTTGAAATATGCAATATCACTTGAACCGAATTTCCTATGTACATCTGAATATACCACCGTGAACCTCCCCATCACGTACATCCACAAGAAATTAAAAGAAATAACCATGTGCGAATGGCAGAAATGGAAGCGAAGAAATTCCTGATCTCTTGCGTATCCGAGTAACATTTTTATTACTAAGCTCTTGGATGCTTTTCTAATATTTGCAATTAGAAGTGACATATTAGTTTATCAGGACGTGGTGGAATCCAGAGAGCATGAGTTTGAGTCTCGTATTGATCCCATGTGGTCTCATTAGGAACGAATTCAGGCTGTGAGTCTTGGGACGTCTCTACATCCCAAGAAAAATAAATCTTTAGATCAATCAGAAAATGCTGGACAAAGATGCAAAATCCATGGTTTTGCATTTAGGTCACTCGATATATTCCAGGTTGGATGTCTCTTCAGTCTCTGATGCCTGTGTGTCCCAAGGATGCTGAGTTACAATAGTGCGATTCACATACCTTGAAATCACCAAAGCAGGGACATAGAGTTTAAAAATGGAAAACAAGTATATACAAAAGGTTAAAAAAAATCAAAAAGAGACAAACTCACATTACAACAAGTCACTGGTGCAAGAACTAAATCACCCTTGGAAGGAAGGCATTAATCCTTATCACTAAAGTCCGCATACCTGAAAGACCATTACATCATGGGCCAAGTTCCAACCTGAGTTTTGGAGGAGACAAATGACATCCAAACCATGCATGGAGCATTCCAGAAGCTCAAAACTATCAGGACTCGAGTGGCCAACTCTAGGTATTCAAATTCACATGTCACTGGTTTTCAATCTATTTCGCCTAATTGCTTTTTATCCTTGTTCTTCTACATCATTGAATCTGCTCTCTGCAATTCCAAGGTTTCACAAAGCACTTTCTACCATAGTTGTAGCTGCTCCTATGCTCAAAGAAGATTTTACATTCATTTGGAACTTGTTTTAGAAGTGTTTTTCCATTGAAGTGTAAGAAAATAAATACCGATCTTCTCTTTCACTACCTGATCGTTACTAGGATTTACATGATTTTGAATGAGTTGATTTCAAGCTCGGATTTGATAAATGATAAGTTTCAGTTATCCTTTGAAAGCCCTAAATATGTAAATGGAAAGATGAGTGAATAATATAAAGATGAAAAAGAAATGAGTAAACATATTCAAAATGTCCAATTATGAAACTAGATTGAAAAGTGCAGAGTGCAAACAATTAAACATAATTTTTGCCTAAATTTAAATTAAAGGAAAAGTGACAGGTAATACTATGTGAATGCTTCAACAAAACATTACCATTTTGCTGCCATTATCCTGGAATGGTTAACCACAAAATTTAGTGTAAAAGAAAATATATAATTTAAATTAATAAATACAGGGGAAGCATGCCTGAAAAAAAATGCTATTTTTTAAAGTCATCCTGATTGTGAGCCTGTAAATTGAAGGCATAAAATGAAAACGCTACTCAGAAATATCACATCAGCCAGCAAGAGTCGTGTTGGGCATCAACCGGCAAAAATAAGTTGCTCTTATTTATAATAATGTATTCGAAAATATTACTCAATAAAAGTAACTTCACATTAGCATCATACAAAGCGGGAATTGCTCCAAAAAGATGACTTTCAGCCATGAATATTTTTAGTGACCTCTGTAGGGTTAAAACAAGATGGTAGATAGATTTGGTTATTAACCAACATTAATGGATATAATAGGTGATAAGCTTTCGAATATTTCAAACTATTGTTTAATTGTATGACTGAAGGCTTCTTTCTTACTCTCTGACACTCACTACCACCATCCTTAATATAGAACCTAAAACTGAGTTCATTTTTCCTTCTTTGTACCGATGTTTCCTTCTGTGGTCTTTTGATATGTGTTTCTTTCTGCTTGTTTGCCTTGTAATCCACCAAACTTGATTCCCTTCCCAAGGAATTTCTTACTACTGTGACGGTGGATGCCTGTTCTGGTGTCTCCAGCACGTCATCTGACTAACATGGAATGCTTCGGCCCATGGATACCTGCGACGTCCTTCACTCTTATTATTCTCATCATCTTCTCCATCTTGATTTTTTTTTTAATATTTTTTAGTTGTCCGTGGACCTTTATTTTACTTATATGCAGGAGGTGCTGAGAATCGAACCCAGTGCCTCGCACATGCTAGGCAAGCACTCTACCACTGAGCCACAACCCCAGTGTCGCCATCTTGATTTTTATATCATCTTTAGATTCCATCGTCTTCTCGTATATTCTTTTCTTTCTCGTTGGCTCTTTGGTGAAACCATTCAAATTCACTTTTTCCAAAAGAACAGTTTACATTCACATCTTTTCTCTATCATCTTTTCTTCTGCAAGTATAACTCTTCCCAGAAAGAGATTCCTTATCTCCCTACAATTTCTTTCTCCCATTAGGTTGGGTGTCTATTCTTTCTATTAATGTATCACAGGCAGACAGACTCCCCACATACTGTATGTAAGTGAATCTTCACATCAACATAGAAGCGTTATCCTACCCTCATTTGCCATTTGGAGAAATAATTTTGGCAACGCTCTTTATCATTCATCCAAAACATGCAGCTCAAACTCTAGAACTGATGGTCAAACACAATTCTCGCTAAGTCTCTGGAGATTATAACTACGTCTTTGCTTCTTCTTGTCCTAAGCAACGAATCAAGAAAAGTCCCATCCTCTCCTTCTGAGTTTAAATCTTAGATGTCCTCAAATGGGCCTCTTTGGGGACACCATTGAGATCCATTTAACGTGCATTAACAAAGCCACCACCACGACAAACGTCTATCCCAGGTCGCAGTGCTCCATTGGAAGTCCATAGTCATCTGCTCTGCTAAATAGAAGATCTACAAGGTCTTCCTCATCATTTTTTTATAATGTCTTAGCATGTGTTGCTATAACAAATATACCACAGACTGTGCAGCTTAAACAAAAAAAAAACATTTCTCACAGTTCTGGAGGCTGAAAAGTCCAAGATCCAATTGCTGGTGGGTGTTGTATGTAGTAAGGACTCTATTTCTGGTTTGCAAACAGACACCTTCCGGTTGTATCTACACATGTTGGAGAGAAGAGAGAACCAGCAAGCTCTGTCATTTTTTTTTTAGATGGCACTCATCTCAAAATGAGGGCTTTGCTTTTTGACCCATCCCCTCCCCACGTCTCTCCTCCTATTGCAAATCCCATCGGGTGCCATGATGTCAACATACAAACATGCACAGATGCACATTCAGTCCTTTC